CCATGGATAAATCGAAACCGTCGTTTTAATTACTCTTGCCTAGTGTCCTGTTGCACGCGCGGCAACGTTTTCATCGCACGATACTGTAGAAAAAGAAGAGAAAAGGGAAAAAAGAGCAGGAAGGAGGGAAAAAACGGGGGGAAAGAGAAAGAAAGGGAGGAGAAAAAAGTAGCAAGTGGTATAAGCAATCGATAGCTGCGCCACGATAAAGCACCACCGGCGACCGCCTCCATATTCCGCGGCAAATGGAAATTCTGCCGCGCGGAAATCGATATTTAATAGGCGCTGCTACAAATTGAAGCGAATCACTCGTAATCGCGATTTAATCGCGTCTAATATCTATAATACCATCCTCGACATTGTCATTGATTCGAGTATGGTGTCATTCCAACGTCGATTTGCAGTATCCGCGTTAATTATTAGGTATTAATGACGTTTGTTCTGTGGCTCGCGTTCAATTACAGGTGAAAGTCTTTCGTTTAATTTCATTTCATATACGGCTAGTTTCGTGTTTATAATAGAATTTTTGGGTATCTTAGGCACACTCGGATGTGACCAAAACCTCTCTCAAAATTTATATCTCGAGTATGATCTAAAATGTGAAATGTAAATATTATTATTATATTTAGGTAACGATAATTATATATTATTATTTTTATTTTTTATCGCAAGTTTCGAGTGTATTTACCGTCGATGGTATCGTCCTCATAATGTTGTAGTATTTTATTTATAAGTTTTTTTTTATTAATAGGATACAATAATTACACTTTCAAATGAATATTGAGATTTCGCGATAAAAGTTTCAACGTCAGGGGTTGTTGCGAAGATACGTATCTTAGAAAATGATTAAATTGTTGAAATATGAAGAGAATCGAAGATTAGAAACTTCAAAATTACTCCTGCCTATTTTTCTTTTTTCTATTTTATTATTTATAGCGTTCTCTATTTTTGTTATGTTATTGTGTATTATTATTTTTATTTTTTATCATAACTTTCCAGTGTATTTACCGTCGATGGTATCGTCCTCATAATGTTAGAGTATTTTATTTATAATTTTTTTTAATTAACAGGATACAATAATTACACTTTCGAATGAATATTGAGATTTCATGATAAAAGTTTCAACATTAGGGGTTGTTGCGAATATTGAAACATGAAGAGAATCGAAGATTAGAAACTTGAAAATTATTCTTACCTATTTTTCTTTTCTTTTTTATTATTTATAGTGTTCTCTATTTCTGTTACGTTATTATTATATAGGGTATTATTATTATTTATTGTTACACGATTATCGCTATTCGGAGCTTTGGAAGCTTTCGTAATCCGGAATCTATCGGAGTAATAATTTCTTCGAGACACGTTTCGCGTAACTTTATATTTCTCGACAGCGTCGGAAAAATTGAAATTAACAGAAGAATGACCGTTTCAATGCCCCACTAAAATTGCTTCCGCACCCCGCCGTTAATGGAATTTCTGTTCAAGCAGATCGATTATTAACCATTAATAGGTCATGCTGGATTTCCAGAGGGCGGATCGAGTTTCGGAATTTTCATCCGCCTGTGTCTTCGATCGTCGTTCTATCCACGCTGCTAAACAATTTTAATAACATTAATAAACTAGTTACACGCGAAATGCCAGGGTGTTAGCGGAAAGTGGGGAAAGCGTGGAGCAATTTTTCTGAAGCTTAACCTCGTTACAGTTTTCGAATAATTTGCTAGCCGATAATTTCCTTTTTATCGAAATCGGCCTACAATTTTGAGGAAAATATACGGAATTCTTCGTACGCGTGCTGTCGCGTTTCAATCGTCCATTAAAAGTTGCTTGTTACTCGAAATTAACGAAACGAGAACACGATCGGGGCAAGAAAATTTAGAAAGATCGTAACGGAGTTGAGAAGTTTATAATTCGTTGCAATTATCATTAAAATGGAAGGAAATCGCGGATATAAGGTCCTTGACAAGAAGTATGTCATATATTACGTGATTTAATGAGAGATGTCGTAAGAGTTAACACGATCCTCCTTATCGATTCAATGCTATCGGGGTATACTCGTGGTCTGATCATAAAAGTCCGTGACTACTGGCCATCTACGTGTGACCTCATACTACTCGTTCCGAACGATTTCTTCTAAACCATCGAAATGACCGAGCGTTACGAATATGGCTGACACAGTGCTTCTGGATTACGCAATTGATAAATACGTAGCATCGATTTTCACCAGCGACCTATTCAAATTGATTAAGAGCTTTTATGTAGGGCAACAGTTGCTCACGAAACACTTTGCACCTATGAAATAATTGGTTTTTATACAAGAACGATAACGCTTCTCTAAAAGCTTCATTTTGCAAAAGAAACATTCAAATCGTTCTGTCTTTTTCCTCCCTCGTTTCTCACTTGGACGCGGTTCAAGGGAACGCAAGGGAAACGGTAATAAATTGTGATAATTTCGGTACTTTGCTAATTACAGGACACACGAGAGTAATTTCAAAAGCCACCCTCGCATTTTTCGTATTTGCATTACACTTCACTTTTCATTCACGCCAAACGAAACATCCTACGTTTAATTAAATTTATTTTACACTGCATTAATACCGGCACTACGTGTTGTACGACAATGCCATTATTTCGCGTATGGAGGAAAACAGAAGGGTGAAAAATTTTCATTTTTAAAGCTGGATATACGCGTAATACGATATTTAAATATCACTGGGATCAGTGGCGTGATACTTTCTCTGTGTCTATTTCGTTCAAATTCGAAGTTAGAATAACTACGGACCAAAAATCCAATTCCAAATTAAAAGCTTCCGATATCCGCGTGGAAAAGGTATTTAATGTTCTCGATGCACGGTGCTGACAGTGATTCGAATTAAAATTGTTCAGACTCTACTCGAGGAGTTTTATTCGACGTCCTAATACCGAGCATTAAAAATGCATATTGGCAATAATCGTCAACTTCATCGACAGATTCGTTAGAGTACATTCCCGGGAGCGCAAACAACGAGGAGTAAATAAGTTAAAAATTCTTACGTGCGCTGTAACGAGTAACGAGGCACAGCACGCAACTGGCAGCGTTGTCTGACCATTATCAGGTCGTAACTACTGCGCGAGCTTCGTTGCTCCGTCTGATATGATCGGTCCGTAGTCGCTGACAATGGCCCGTCCTCTATTCGCTGTTCTTTTCACAGCCGCATCGATGTAGGTCATGGTAACATCATATTCAGGGTTTTTTACAGTGCCGCCGGTGAATTGCTACCAGCTTTCCAGTCCTATTGCCATTTTCCATCCTAATACTCCATCTTTCTCTCACCCTCTTTCTCTCCTTCTTCCTCTTTTCGCTAAACTTTAATCTTCTCTACTCCTTGCTCGCCCTTTGTGCTCCCTTTTCGTCCTTTCACGTCTCCACTTCTTTTCTCTTCTTTGCATTCCCTCCTCTCCCTTTGTTCCTTACTTCCTACCTTCTGTTCTTTTCTCTTCGCTTCAAACATCCTCTCCACTCTCTCTCTTGGAATACAATTCTTTCTACTTTCCCTCTGTATTCTCATCTTTCATCTCGTTTCTCCCTTTGTCCTTCTCGAGCACGTAGGTCGCGTCCAAGAAATGCTTAATTGAACGTATAAGTGCGTGCTAGTTGGATTTCTTAATTTCTTAATTGCAAGTTCGGGTTAATGTAGGTTATGTTTCGCAATTTGTTGGCCATCTAAGAATTAAACGTTCGGTTATCGATACTCGATACTGGATACTGCGAAACACCGACGGGAAGGATCCCGTCTAGTCTCGGCCAATCCCTGTTCCTCGCAATCAGGGGAACCAATCGGCGAAATTTGGGTTAAAGCGTTTTTCAGCTCGTGAACCAAGGATCGACGAACGTCGTCGAAGACGCGGCGAGCTCGACGAAAGGGTGGAGAGTTAATTTCGGCCACGATCCTCGGCTCGGCGGCCATTGTGAGCCGGTTGGATCATCAGTCGGATCTCAACGTAGAAAATTATTCGCGGCTCGCGGGCCCATTGTTCGCAGAAATTGATCCTTTTGAAGTATGAGCTGAGAGTCTAACGTATTGTTCGCGGCAGTCTTTTATGAGACACATCTGTCAGCGGCGTCAGAGATTATTTGCATTTTGTACGAGCATTGTCCAAGGAGAATTTAATGTCCCTGGAATCGAGGCGTGCATGTATTACTCGCCAGAAGTGTTCTATCTTAGGAAGAAGGTGATTCGTTCTTTTGCAGAATTTTCTGCTGAATAGAAAATTTCTGCAGGTAAAGGAAAGAATTACCACTCTTTGGAAATTTATTTTTGGGATAATTTTATTATTAAGTTTTATTATATTATTATCAAGTTACGTTCTATTTTCGATTGTCAATCGCTGTTAACTTGTTTTAGCTCGAAGAAGCTACAAATTGTCAGTATTTGTTAATTTGTAATATTACGAGCTGTATTATATCACGAAATTGTAAAATTTTCGTATTACGAAATTTCAAACGCCTCGCCTGGATCTAGTAGGGAAGTCGAGCAGCTATTTATTTAAGGAATATAGCTTTAAATTGGAGTCCTACTGTAGTACCAGCGTTGACAGAGATGTTAACAGAAAGTCAATTGTTCTACTCTTACTGAGTCTATTTATCTTAGCCCTGGTGTTGGAGGACTCTCAAATAGGATATTAGAATCGTTATTACCACGGTAGTCTGTTTCCTGTCAAACACCTAATACTCTCACCTTCCAAGACCCAATTTTTGATACCAAAATAGTCACGTATAATTACCAATATCCCACGTACACTGGCTGCTATATATTTCCCAATTTTTACAAAACATATATAAAGATAATATTTTATTTATGAAAATATTGACAGGATCGGAAAATTCGTATCTGGAAGCTTGAAAGAATTCTGTATTTCTTAATTATTACCGGAATTAAACTGCCAAATGAAAGCAGCCACTGTACGCAGGATTTTCCACGATTTTCCAATTGCTTAAATTAATCAATTGCTTTTCTCTGTTTCAGCGATCACTCGATAAGCAATCGCGTGGATCGTCGGGGTCATCCGACGCATTGCGAGTGCGGGGAAGTGACCAGGCCCTTATGACGACGCGAGGAAACGGCCGAGAGTGCCCTGGCCACGTCGCAGTCCGACTTCTAGGCCTACTCCACTCATTTCCACGCGTCCCGCCCTCGGCCGTTTTACCCTGAAACCCTCCTCCATCTTGCCGACTCATCGCACCTTGTACGTAACACACCTGGTCCTTACCTTCCACTAGCATCTCCACACACCCACACACGTATAATACACATGTACAAAACGTCACGTGCAGCACCGTGCAAGCAGCGGAGCAAGCCAACAGGTACATAGAGAGGAAACGATCCTTCGAACTCGGGAAAAGAATTTTTAATACCTCTCGGATATTTCGATATCGAGGATCTAGGATCTAACAGAGGTGTATAATTTGGAGTTTCATCGATCGCGATGAAAATTAGATAGGGGGTCGAATTGGAGATGTGGAACTTAGAGTTTGATTCGCGATCGTGACGAGAGTTAGGCGACTCGTGCACAGAAACGACTGTGAAACGTGCACTCGATGAAAGCGAACTTCCACTTTTAGTTTGCGGTGTACGTTGATTTTTCGTGGCAACGGGATTTACGTGGATTTAAGGATCGTCTAAGCCATAGCGACGTAAGTAGGTAACAATTCGTGTAAGTGGAGGAAGAAGTTGGTTCTCGAGGAGTGATAAAAATCGTAGGTAGGATAGAGTTCATCGGCTGCATCTCAGGAACAATAAACTGGTAGTTCTAACGAGCCCTAAAGTGTCTTACTTAACTTTTACTACGGGAGGAAACGTTTCTCCTTCTCTTCGGATTTGAACTCGAAGGAATTGTAGACAGTCCAAGTGGAATGAAAGTGGATTGCAAAATGTTTCCTGGTGTATCTAAATTCGTTTAGTAATTAAGCAAACTTCTCGCTGAACTTCTCGAATTTACTCGAACTTCTATTTCTCGACGATTTTGAATTTCGCGATTTCGTGTATCTACGCGAAGGAAGGTCTAGCTTTGATTTAAATACGTGAAATCGTGTGACAGAATTAATTTACGGAGTGATTTGTAGAGGTTTCCCGTCGCTGCCATTTCCATTTCGAAGATAAAAATTTAAAACATAGATTCGAATCGAAGCAGCGGTTCTCAACGCGTTTCGACGGCTCGTTGTCACGTATGAGTCGTTCACTGCGCAAATAGATAACTCCATAAAACAAAAAATGGAGAAATGCAATGAAATAATGTAGTTATGACTATACCAAGTGCTTTGACACTTAAATTTAAGATTTTTCAAAAAGTGGAGTTAATCGATTCGTGCAGTGAACAGCTCAATTAAAATTATAAATTGCCACCAGCGTGGGAATTTTCGGATATCGCCATTAGGCCACAAAGACACTTGGATAAATATTCGAAATAAATCTGTAATTAAGGCAATAATAATAATAATCTCACCGTAATCGATTTATACGTTTACGATTTAATTTCTCGCTGCACCATTTGTTCTGCAGATTGCGAACCGCTGCTCTGGAACAAGATGATCCATTTCTTTTCTATATTTCACGTGTCTAGCAACTTTTCCCAATTTCTTCTGCTCAGAGTAGAGCCAAAGAGACAATAAAAAGAACGCGCAGAAACTTCTACACATCGCTGGACTTTTCCAATAGCCATTAAACCACGGCTTTAAGATACTATAGCTCGGACAATTTTCCATAATTTTCGGAAGTTCCACTTACAGTAGTCGATTCGAGTGCCGTTTTACAGGCGTCCCGATGGCTTTTGTCGTTCGACCCCATTGTCGCTGTGCGAATCGATGCAGTGACAAGAAGGTTCGGACAGCAATCGCGTTTGATGTCTGGAACGGACCGGAAGTTGGTCGGTAATCGAGTGCCGCTGTCTTCTGACGCTGCGAGGTCCAAGTTCTTCGCGATAGGAAATGTAAACAGGGAATATGTAACGATGCAACTTCGTCGAGGAGTGTCGCGAATCTTTCCTCTTGCAGAAAAGACTCAGAAGCGCGGAAAATTGTCAAAAAGAGCGTTGCTTCATCGAAAGTATTATTTTAGAATATATATTATATTTTAAATATATTTTATTTCATTATTAATATCGTGTCTTAACGGTGTATCGTCATATAGGCACTGACCGATTAACTTGCAATAACTTTGAATTTTTCAATAATTAATTTTACGTCAAGGAATGTTTTATAATAAAGTAACGTTTGTATTATTTTATCGTAACCCTTTGCGCTCGACGATTTTTTGGCTGAAGAAGGGTACGAGTTGAAAAATTTTCTGGTATAAGGCTGATGATATTTTTTGAGCGGTAAATAAGAAATCGTATAACTAACACCTAGGATTATTTCATTTCGATACCTTGCACACTGTTATGTTATTTTAAATTTGACATATTAATTAATATCGAGCTTCGAAGTTTTATCAAATGGTGACTGAAAGACACCTCTCGAGTGCAAAGGGTTAATGGAGAAAATTATTGGTGGTTATTTTGATTTGGAATTTTAGATATTAGATATGGAGATTTATTATTATTATTTATTGTTATATATGGATATTATATGGAGATTCGTTTAATTATTTTATTGGAATAATTGATTTCGATGAAGTAAACGCGAATGTGCACTGATCGTCTTGATTGGAACTTTCCGAACAATACTTCTGGATGAGGAGAAAGGGTCGATTGTTATTAGCCAACGTTGATTTACCTGCTCGTTAGGGGATCATCGAGGTGTAATTACATCGCGTGATTTAAAGCGCGAAATGAAATTTTTCGTTAATTGCTAAATAGAATTCGATGACACGCGCGAGGCACGATAATGGACATGTTTATCGAACGAATGCAATGACAATGACGTTAATTTAATTTCCCGTTATCGACGTATCGATGGTCGTTTTCAGTTAGAACGCGCATACTCGCGCAACGTATGCGTGGTGGCACGCGTTTCGATGGAAACGCGCTGAAAACTTTCCATTGGGTGAACTTTTAAACATTCGTCGGATCGTTTCCTGGGTGAAAAAAGAAAAAAAAGAAAAAAAGAAAAAGTGAAAAAAATGAAAATAAAATCGACGAGATAAATTGTCCCGAAACTACTAAGTTAGGAGTTAGGCGAGATAATGTAAAATGGCGATAGTTAAAATGCATAACTGCCCGGATAGTCGGAAGAAAGAAAAACGATCGAGTTGATTGAAAATTATTGTAAGATTTATTTTTTATTAGGTCCTAAGAGGCTGTTACGGGGCTACGGTCGATCCAACTTAAAGTACCATTTTTCCTATCAAACTTTCCACCTTGGAAAACTCCGTTTTATACGTATTTTAAATTTAAGAGGAACGCAGACATCGCGTAAAATTTCGCGGCAATGGGAATCGGGATTGTGCGTTTAAAAATCCAGGAATCAGCTTTATTGAAAATCCTCAAACGTGTATTTCCTCTCTTTTTTCCTGTATTCCCGTTTTACTGAAAAATCTTGCAAAGTGCAACGAGAAATTTACCTTTCTCCGCCAGTAACTACGATTTACACGGGAAACTCCAGATGTATCTAGAAAATTCACCGACCACTTAAAAAGTTTACTGGTTACACAGCAAATTTGTCATTTACGTAGGGAAGGAAAGGGACGCCACTCGCCACTGAAAAGATTCGGTGCTAACTGGTCGTGGATTTACATGGCAAATTAAGTAGATTGAAAATTCCAGCTCTCTCAAAATTTCGCAGGTTTGTAGGAGACCCTTATACCAGTATCAAACAACCTTTTGGTCCTTCTTGAAAATGCCACCTCAAACTCGAACGTTTATGCTTCTACTTAACTTTTCGTGTTAAATGTGCCATTTTGGGTTCACGTATATACGAATTTTGTGTAAAAATATTCGCGTTTTCTGTGTCGATTGATAAATATTTTATTAATTCACGTGAATTATATAATAATTTATCAATGTACCACGGAATAACCTACGCGTTTTCATTTTGAAGATCCAAAAGATAGAAAAATGAAAATTCCGAAGAAAAGGATATTAGACACTTTTATCGAGGTCTCGTGCAAAGATGGAGAACATTGCAGAGGAATCGACATTTTTACGCGATCAATGTGCTCTCGTAATGGTACCGGTCAGCACTTCCGGTTGTTCGGGCGTTGTTTCACGTGGTCACGAATTTTCCTTAACTTTTCGTGTTAAATGTGCCATTTTATGTTCACATATATACGAATTTTGTGTAGAAATATTCGCGTTAACTGTGTCGATTGATAAATATTTTATTAATTCACGAGAATTATATAATAATTTATCACAGTACCACGGAATAACCTTCGCGTTTTCATTTTGAAGATCCAAAAGATAGAAAAATGAAAATTCCGAAAAAAGGATTATTAATCCTCTGCACTCGACGAATTTTTGGCTAGAGAAGAGTAAAAATTCAAAGATTTTGTGCTAAAAAACTGACGATATCTTTTTGAGCAGTAAATAAAGAATTGTAGAATTATTTGACTTCGATACTTCACGCACTGTCACATTACACTATATTTGATATATTAATTAATATCGATCTTGCAAATTTTATGAAACGGTGACTGAAGCTCACCTGTCGAGTGCAAAGGGTTAAACACTTTTATCGAGGTCTCGTGCGAAGATGCAAAACGTTGCAGAGGAATCGAAATTTTTACGCGATCAATGTGTTCTCGTAATGGTACCGGTCAGCACTTCCGGTTGTTCGGACGTTGTTTCACGTGGTCACGAGTGCGGGGGACACGTTGCGAAAAAATATACGTTCCTTCTCGACCTTTTAGAGATTACGTTCATTTGCATATTACGAGGTGGCTCTCGCCTGTAAGCGTGTGGACGGTTGCCAAAAAGCGGGAGAATCGTGTAAGCTCTCGGTTCAGCTCGAGATCGTCGATACCGCAACTCTCGATAGCGGGGAAAAAAGAGCTCGTCGTTACTCGTGGCAATATCGATGATGGACAGGCGAATCCGTTTTAATAGCGCAAAAGCGTATCGTCATGATGCGCCAATTACATTACGGTTTGGAACGCCGTGCGCGATTTTTCCCTCTCGTCGGGTCGCGAATTATGTATCAAAATTAATGGTAAATAAACGACTTTGATATCCGCTCGTGATTATTTAATTTCGCGCCGATACGTCATCAACGATAGTGTTTTCGAATATATTTTCTTGCTGTTTATTCGCGCTTCGGTTTTGATTTAAATGAATAATAATAGGTCGACCAGAAAAATTTTATGTGGTATTTCTGTTTGACGAGAGTGGTGCATTTTACTGTTTTACCATTTTATCATTTTTGCGTTGTTT